CCATGATTCAAATCCCTGTAGTTTGCAGACTTCTTGAAGAAAAGGATTGTGCCACAAGGGCATATAACTCATATAGCCCCATGTAGTAGATAGTCTTTCAACAATGACCAAGTCTTGTACAAAAGCCTCAATGTTGGGAACTTAGTGCCTTTTTCAAAACGTCCTGTCTCTAAGAGTGAAATCAATGGATATTTTAATTTTTCTACCTGTAATACTTCCACCACCCTGTAGGTAGTAGGCTACCTCCAGGTACACCTGCATTTAATTTATCGACTGCATTAATATGCTCCAACATGGTGACTCATAAATAGAGTTAGGACCGACCGCACTTCACATAGGAGCCTAAAGGAGGCAGTGTGGCTTTTACATATTTTTGGCCAAAGGTTTGTGTAACTAAAACCTCTGTTTTAAATGCATACTGTTAGACAGGGTAAATTGTTTTGTTGCAGGCTAGCTGGCAGGTGTGCTGGGGACTTTTTGTGTTTTGTATTGTTGTTAGTCTTCCCATGTGTACCGTGCTACAAAGGCTGGTTATAAATGATGCTGTTGCCATTCATTTCTAGTACCGCCAATCCCCCCTCAATTATAGTGTACTGCAGTGACGTGCGGTACCTCTTGCTCGGTGTGAGGCATACCCCAGCCCCACCCCCCGCCGGCTGAAGCTCTGCCTCCTGCCGGCCTAAGCTCCGCCCCCACCGGACCCAGCTCCCCCAACCCTTCCCCAAGCTAGTGTAAAGGAGGAAGGGAGGAGACAGGGAGGAGCCTCCCTGTCCCTCACTTGCTCCTCACCGCTGAGGCTCCATGACAGGTTAAACAGCGGGGATGATTTCTCTGCTGTGTAACCTGTTAGTTGCCTAATAGTGGCTATTATTATTTGCAGTCTTGGTCTGAACCCTAATTAAGTGTGGGAGGCTTTGCCATATGACCCCCCCATTTCAGCAAAACTAGATAGGTGTAAAGTCTCTCCTGACTGGCATATTGATGAATTACTGTTCTGTGAGAGATCACTTATCAGGCAGCAAGGAACAGCCATAAATTGTGATTACCTCTCTCTTTGATTAACCACCATCAGCTTATGGGAAATGAAATACAAAAAAATAGACATTACCGTGTCCCTGATTGGCTTCTGAAGTGAACACATATTCTAGTGACCAGTGTAAAATTAGCTTTCTTATAAACCACTCTTTTGATGTCATGCCTGCTTCAACCTTCGCTTTTCTACTTTGGCCAAATAAAAACTCATATCACCATCAGTCCTCTCATGTGGTCAGAGAGGAAATCAACATGGAATGTATACAATATGTATTAATGAATGGCCTGCAGCACCAAAATCCTGGGTTTAATTATGGCCAGAGCACTCTTTATGTTTAATTTGTATGTTCTCATATTTGTGCAGGCTGCCTCTAGGGACTCCAGTATCCTTCCCTAGTTAAAAAATACTTATATTTCCAATCAGTGTGTCTTAGCTTTTAATAGATTTTGTACTCCTTTAAAACTGTCAGTGTTTACCAAGCATTCATAATGTATGTCCACTTATCTCAAGTATCCCTTGGCATACTTCAGTGTATTTCTAGTACCCTCTAATTCGAAACAAACTGCTTTCTAAACGATCACTTTTAATTTTACAACAAATATAAATACTCTACTAGATTCCATTCTATTTCATTCATGGTGTATTATTGGTAAAAAATCAAAACTGTTAAGATAAATGTACTTTACAAGCAGAAGAACGTCATAAATCTTTCAGAAATGACTCCTGTTTACAGTCATATTGCTTGAGAACCTATAGCATTATCTTCCTTGCATAGGCAAGCATGACTATGGCATGTTGTTATGACTGTTGTAGTCCCATTAAACTGTTAGATCCAGAGGGCAGAGACAGATGAAAACAGTTTATTTTTATTGGATAATGGAATATGTTGGCCTTTTAGAAACTAGGATTATCAAAATCCAGCTAAATAGAGAGAATTACAACATGACTGCGAGCCACAAAAATGTGATAGTTTCACTTCAACTAAACACATATAGAGTTACATGTTTTGCATCCTCCACATGCACCATCACAACTACATTCAACAATATCAGTATCATGTTTGACCTCAATCCCTTGCTTTTACAGCTTTAATACTTTTAATCCATAAATCATCACAGTGTGAAACCTTAAATGGTTCAGTACAAGTAAAACTTCAAAACCCAAATGTGGGATTTCAGTCTAAGTGGATTTTCATAGTGGTCACATTTGGTTTATTACCACTTTGAGGAGTATAATCCAGGCCAAAAAAAGTCGTATTAGACTTTATGTCCGCTATAACACTCATGACAAGCAAACATAAGCTGGTTTTACTGTTCTATTAAGAATGTTTACACCATCTTGTTTTTACTTTTCTTTTAAACAGTAACACCGACAGTGATTCAATGTACTACATAAAAAAGTTGTCACTTGTACAATTAAAGTGTAAATATATGATGTGTTCATGAGTCCTATCATCTCCTTCCTCTTGCATTTACACTGGCTAGCAGCAACGTTCACCCTCTGGGTGCCAAATACACTGGTGACATTCCCAAAACTTAAAAATAAAATGCCTGACCTCTTTGCTGACTCATACAAACCTTATCATTATCTAGAAATAATGATTGCAATTACAGTGTAGCTATATGCAAACTATTGAACAGAAAGCAATAACAAAAAAAAATGCACTTTGTAAAAAGGCTCCAACTACTCCAAGTAAATCCTTAATAAATATTCCTAGAAAAATATGGAAATTGAACCTAAAAGTCAGCATTTTTTACAGTATATTACCTTGGCATGAGTTCCTATGCTATTAGTTAATTACAAAATGTACTGTCCATTCAGCTCCAAGCATTTATGTACTCTAATTCCTGACAGCATTCAAAAATAATTGCTCCAGGATGCTAGTGAAGAGTGTGAAATGTGACAATTATGAGAAGATATATATTTTATGACGGATCCCCATGCAGTGTACTCAAACGACAGGGTGTGAATGTTTCAATACATCCTTCATTTGCCCTTCAGTGACTCACATTCTACAATTCTATTAAGCAAATCCCATCACAAACATATTTCCAGCACTTCTAGTGTTTCTTTCCTTGCTATTGTTTTTCTGCAGCAAATGTCACTTGCTCCAGCTTCCACTTACTATTGTTTTCCATTGCTTAAGCAAAGTCTGTTCCTGGATTTAGAAACTTAAATTGGAAATTAACTATCACTAGCTTATACTCAAGTAAGCACTGAAGCTAATCATAAGGCAATTCTGCATAGTAAACGTTTTCTGAACATCATTTTCTGATTCTATAAGTGCTGTCTTATTTCCCTGGATGACATGCCAGTTTAAAATGCCTGAAGGGTAATATAAAGAAACAAATGACACCACCACCTATAAGGGTTTTGTTTTGTGATAGCTCTCACCTTAACCATTCAGCATTCTATCCTAGCTATGTCTTGTTCCCCTATGCACTTAATTCTGGGCTTAGTTGATAAGCAGTGCAAAGTGTGGAAAGCCATGTCAACCAATCAGAAATAATCTGCTAAATGATATGATAGTAGGAAACTAAAATCCAATTGTTTCCTGGTCATTACTAATGAAAGTTTCCAAATTAAAAAAGCTATTACCATAATAAATAAATCTAATAATATACTGTATATGAACTAATACACAGAGGCAGTGCAGTGATGATCTGCAAAGTTCAATAGTCTATTGCAACCAATGAAATCAAGCCTTTTACTAGCCTATCACAATTACAGAATCATAGATTAATGCTAAATGGTTGCTATGAGTTATCCACATTCGTTTGTGTCTTATTTGAGAAATCTGATTGCTTTAAATATGTAGTGAAGTCTAGAAAATAACTTTTGGGGGTAAACATCTTGTGCTACCCAAAAAACAAGCATTCACCATTTTTTTGTTACATAAACCAACTTACAGCTAATCTACAGACATTGTAAATGTATTTATATTACACAATTGTGTGTAATCAGTTGAGCTGATAAGATAGTTAACATACCACTGGCATAGACATTTTGGGGGTGCGGGGGGGGGTTATTAAATCTACTCCAAAAAAAATCAGCATTCACCATATGCTACTTATTGAGAAACACATACAATCAGATAATTCTGAAAGATAGCTCTGCTTTCAGATAATACTATAAATATTACAGCATAACATGCAGCATAAAGTTTCACTGGTTATGAAACAAGCTTATCACTGCAAGAAACCATTAAAAAGATTTTTGTGGCCATTAAACTTCATGCTAAATAAGCAGCACTGGATGTGTGGACTATTACTCTGGACAAGAGGGGTGCTTGTCCTGCTAAATGACAGTGCATAGCCTTGTATACGACAGCTGGGGGGAGCTTGTAAGAGAGGCAAGAGCAAACTACAGCATGTACTGGCTGCTGAGAGAGGCAAGAGCAAACTACAGCATGTAGGGGCTGCTAAGCCTAGGGGTCAATTGTTTTCAGAACTAAAATGATATTAGGCTGCTCACTGACACAATATTAAATCAGCAGCAAGCCCTCTCCAGACTTATTAAATCAACTAATGAATTGTATAAGCTGGGCTGGTTATAGAATTAATAAACACAATTCTTTTGCCAAGGGTAGAAAATAATTGTGTTTCTTTCCCCCTCAAAAAATCACCACACTGATAAATAAAAGGCAAAAAAAAGCAAACATAAAAGCAAACACAAGGCAAACAAAAAAGCAAACATAAATGCTCAAATGATAACAAGATCGCCTGCTCAGTGATTGTTCTGTTACTTTTAAAGTAAATATGTAGCCAAGTTTATTTAGCCATCTACCCTGTCTGTAGTGGCAAACTGAGATCTAGCTATTGCAGATCTATGTGCACAGATACAAACCAAGCAGCAATTCAGGCAAAGTGCTGTAAGCTAGGTGCAAAGAATTATTGTACACACGTCAAAACAGCTGCTTTTTAATGGACAAGTCGAAGCATAATAGCACAAAAAACATAGCACTTACCAAAATACATTATGTTTCTCATTCCAATCACAAGGCTGCCTGCTCTCTATTGTGCATTAACTCCAGCACAAGCCCGTCATGTGCAGCAGGGATCTCTCATGCTTCAGGAGGTGCAAATGTCCTCAGCACTGGCACGGTGATCAGTGCTTTCTTGTGTTTAGGATGAATGTTGAGCAGCAAGTCTTATCCCTGTTCCAATCCCCTGTCTGATCTAGCATTGCCTGCACGCTGCACTGCCCATTCTTACAGTAATCTGACTCCTCCTTGTGATGTCCTTGCCTTTGCATGTGACATCAGTTCTAAGAGTATTACAAACGGGTTTTCCTCACTTTGCCTTCACATGCTCCTCCATAGGTGTGCTAACATTCTATTTAGATAAAGGCGCTTCTTTAAAGAAAAGAAGAAAGAATCCTTAATCGACATATTTCTCATTTTGCGTATGTTTTCCCTTTCTTTTGCAGGCTGTTAGTAAGTGCAGCTGCTCGACTGGGAAAATGCATTCAGGAAAGTTGATAAGATAAATCATGCAATTAGCTGATAGCGACGCTCACAATAGTAACCATTGATGGAATGGGGAAGAGGCGGATGATAGGATATAGGATGATGCATGGGTTACTGATTTATTGATTATTTTTTGTTTTGTAATAGTGATTAGATCACTCCGACACAAGCATCCTGACTTTTTTTTTATCTTGTACATTTTCTATTATTTATTCATTTGCAAGCAGCTGCGGAAGATTGGAGTATGGAGAACTATGGCGTTTGAAATGGCGTATCTGAAAATAAAAGGAGGCCACGAGGTTGTTTATTGGTTCAAGCTGCTAGTTTAGAAGTGCGAACTAATGCGCACAAAATACACGCACGTTCATATTTAATTCATGTTTATAATGTTTTGAAATTGAAAGTGTTAGAAGAAAAACTGCTAGTTTTCTGTATTACCGCAGAACCAAAAAAAAAAAGAAGTCTGCTAAGCAGCGATGGGACAAGGTGCTCTAGCAATCAAGGTGGAGATGCCAAAGTGCAACAACAGCAGCCTTTGCTCACAAATTAAGCGTAGCTCTCCAAGTGTAATCAGCAGAGCTCTGCAGCCATTTTGACAGGGTGAGCCATGCCTTGTTCATCAAAAGTGGTATCAGCTCACTGGTAGCAGTACTCTGTATTACACAGGGATAACTGCACCCTCCCAGTCTAATCTGTGGCACTGGGCTGTCAGTTTGACAGTTTAGTCTCACAAAGTTCTGGACACAGCTTGGGTGAGGCAGAGACAGAAGAAGCTTCTGCCTCAGTTGCATCCCACGCCTATTACAGTGCCCGAAGTGGATGTCTCACCATACTCAACCTTGGCGTAGCCTTGACCCTGAAGATTTTTGGCACAGTGGGTTGAGAGGAGGCTTATGTGTTCCCCTATTCCTGGGGTATAGCATTTCCAGAGTCATACTATGCCTCTAAAGCAGCCTTTCTCAACATTTAGGGGGTTATTCACAAAGATACCGAAGGCACCCGAGTGAATAATCCAGCCGAAGTGAAGTGAGCCGAACAACGTTCAGCTATTCACTTCTGGCTTGTGCGGCTGATTTCAGTCGTACATCGGCTGAAATCAGCCATACATCGGTTGCCTTTGGCTGCACTTCGGTCAGCCGAACGCGCTCTGCATGTTCAGCTGAGCCGAAGTGCAGAAGGACGGCAGCTCACTCGCTGCCTTTCGCCCCTATTCTCATAGAGGCATTCGGCTCGGCTGTTCTGCTTGATACCTATAAAGTACTGAACAGAATATCAAATCAATGAAAAGAGTCTCAAAAAAAAGTGGAAAAAATATTTGTAAACTGTCAATAAATAGTAAAAATAAAAAATAAAGATTTTTGAAATAGAAAAAAAAAACAATTGGGCGGAGCTAGCAGTGACAGCTAGCTCCGCCCAACTGTCTCCTATTGTCTGGCACCTGGTAGGTAGGGTCCCAAACCAATGAATAACAACTGGGCGGAGGTGGCCGTGACGTTACGGCTGGCTCCGCCCAGTTGGCATTGTTTAACGACAGTTCAGCATCCCCAGGTCATTTGGGGACGCTGATCTGTCATTACAACTGGGTGGAGCCAGCTGTGAGATCACGCTGTCATTTGCGGGGTGAAAGACCGGCCGTCGGCATGCCGCTCTCCCCGCTTCGGCTGACACTTCGGCTCAGTTGAGCCGAAGCAAATGCCTTCGGCTCGGCTGCCTTCAGCTGCTGTACTGGCTATTGTGAATATCCCGTACAGCAGACCTTCGGTTCGACTGAACTGAAGTACTCCAGTGGCCCCAAGAGAGCTGAAGGATCAGCCGAAGCCGTGGCTGGATCCTTTGGCTCCTCTGTGAATAACCCCCTTAGTCAGTAACAGCACCCTTTAAAAATATGCAAAATCTTGAGGCACCCTATTCTATTTTTTGTGGTAACATATGTAATACAGTAAACATACATTTCACAGATAAAAAACAGTTAACTATATACTATAGAATAAACAGAGGTCTCTACGTTGAATTCTTGCCCTGAATTCTTCTTTAAAATATAGTCTTATATACTGATTGCTAAAACCAGTATACAAAGATTACATATTTTTAAACTTATTTTTTGTATTTCCAACTAGAGGTGTACTGTAGACCAGGCCCCATGCCAACAGCTCTGTAGCTTAACAACATGGTGTAAATGCAGCTAGTGATACCAATCAATAGATAATATGTAATGCACTTTTATGTCGTAGAAAGAACTCAGGCTGCCAGATACCAGTATACTTGACTGTATATTTGTAATAATGGAAAAACAACAATGCATGTCATAAATGTCCTATAGATGACTTTAGGAACAATTGCATAGTATATTCTGGCCAGAAAAGATTGGAAAGATCTTTCCAATCTTTTCTGGCCAGAATATACATAGAAGCCTAGTTTGTGCAGTCACTTTTTTCTTTCTGCCACATAGAGATTCTGACAGCACACAGACATAGTTTGGAGTAGATACTGTATGATGAGCACTATAAAAAATGTAGAAGTCAGCACACAATTTTTTAGTTTACTTTTACTAAATTTAAAATCATCTTCTGTGATGTCATCTTTTGGGACAATAATGCTAAAGTAGGGTACAGTCAAAGCAATGCTGCCAACAAGGCCAACTGAGGTTGTCACCACAGTCGACTTTCATGAAGGCACAGTGGGGGCTCTACTAGACACTCTGTCTTGCCTGATAAAATCACAGGGCTTCTTCCCTGTGTAACAGATGCAGTGGCCGGGATTCTTCAGTGACTCAAGCCTGTTAACAGTGCAGGCTCAGCATCAATGAGAACAGCACTGCCAGCTACTGCACCTGCCTTTGTGACAGACATAGTGGCATGGCAGAGACTTTTACTCAGTGACCCTGATTGTGCACTTTTAACAGGCTCTGAGCAGCTGACCTCGCCAACCTCAGCTTGGCCCTGGGTACAGTAACTATGAATGGTCAATAATCTTTAATTTTTCTGATGTATCAATATTTAAAGTGACCATATACTCACATATCTGGTAGGGGTTCTGTTAATTCTTTGCTCTCTTGAAGGGTTCCGTACCCATTGCTATACAAAAATGTGTTGTATAGCTAATTAACTGCCTGAGTGTCATGGTTTAGTCTAGAGACATCTACAAATTACCTGCCCAAAAGGTGCTTACCTGTATGACAAATCACATAATCCTATAATGTGTTATGATATGATTGATATAATGTTTGACAAAGAACAGGTACTTTGCACTAGGGATGCACTGAAACACCGAAACATATCGTCTGAAAATGGCACTTTTCACAATATGCCGAAAGTGCCATCTTTCAGCCTAAATTGCGGTGCATCCCTGGTTTCTCTCCTCCCCGCTGGGTGCACCACTCAACCTCCTGTGACAAATTAGGAAAGCTGTGTGGGGGTGGAGACAGCTATCAGTTGCTTTCACGGGAGGCTGAGCTCTCCTCCAGGTGATCGCTGAGTGTTTGTAAATAATTGAGGACATAATATGTTTACTGTGTGCCAATAATAAATGAATGGGAAGTGATCTGGATCACTTCCTGTTCATTCATGATTGTGAACATGGTAAACATACTATCTCCACAAGCTAAGAATGAACAGGAACACTCAATATAGAAGCTTCCTGTTAATTTATAACATGAGCTGCAGATTCAGAGATTGAGGACTCTGCATTCTCAATCTCTTTTTCTATTTTAAAAGGGAAATATCTGGGATCTGTTTAGACCCCTAATATTTCCCTAAAGCCCCCAACAGAAAAGTAAAAAAATTAAAATATTTAATAAAAAATAAATAAATAAATATTTTTCCGGTTTCAGCCTGTCATTTTTCTTTTTTGGGTTTAGTTTCGGTTTTGAAAATTTCATTTCTGTGCACCTCTACTTTGCACCCCTGTGCAAAGAATCAATGGAGTATGCATCTCTGAAGAATTCAAGGATACCTACAGGGTGTTGTACTTGCAGCTCCCCTTAGCTGTAACTGCTCACTTAGCATCTGTTACGAACCATATCTTAATATCCAAAATCCATTTACACAAGATGTACTCTCAGTGGCCTTGCATTACCAACATCATTTTCAAAATTTTCATTAACCATAGATTAAATCCCATGCAACAAATAGTAAACACCTAAGCATTCTTATGGAGGTCTGACCTTTCTACAGAGAAATCCAGACAGTCAACAAAAGGAGCGAGGATTCTCCAATGATGGCTTTTCCCTATACCATGCTTGTAAACACTCTTTGTACACTAGAGCCCATGTGCAACAGCACTGGCTACACCAGCAATATGCTTGCTCCTAAACACCAAAGCTCAGACTTTCTAAATAAATGCCCTGTGTTTGTCAGCAAAGGTGTAGCATGAATAGATAATGTTGAATGGGGCATCACTTTACTTTTCTTTTGTAAAACCATCCTTTAATTTGCTCCCCAAGGTGACAGGCGAGTGCTTTATACTTAACTATCCATGTTTCTGTGAGATCCATTATGTGTGGCCCATGGAGACCAGCACAACTGCCTCTGCAAACTATCATGTACCTGGTGAGAGACCGGAAGATGAGGAGGCTTCCCTTGCGACACCTGTCCTACCACCCCTGGAGATGGGAACAGAGAGTGGAAAGACAGCGAGGAGCAAGAGTGCCACTGATGGGAACAGACACCGTGCATGAGATGTCCAGTAGCGTGTAGTCAGCAAGCCGGAGGTCCAACTGGGCGGGCAGCGTGTGAACAGAATCGAGAGACTGAAACGTGGCCGTGGAAGCAAAAGGTCAGAGCTAGCCAGGCAGCAAAGTACAAAATCAGAAGGCAGA